CAAGGGCCTTCGCCAAAAAGAAGAGTTCGACCTCGATCAAACGACATCGGGCTACTATTTCGATAAGTTCGAAATAACACCCTTTAAGGCCAAGGGCCTTCGCCAAAAAGAAGAGTTCGACCTCGATCAAACGACATCGGGCTACTATTTCGATAAGTTCGAAATAACACCCTTTAAGGCCAAGGGCCTTCGCCAAAAAGAAGAGTTCGACCTCGATCAAACGACATCGGGCTACTATTTCGATAAGTTCGAAATAACACCCTTTAAGGCCAAGGGCCTTCGCCAAAAAGAAGAGTTTGACCTCGATCAAATGACGACGGTTTACTATTTCGATAAATTCGAAATAACACCCTTTAAGACCAAGGTCCTTCTCCAAATAGAAAAGTTCGACTTTGATTGGATGGCGACGGGTTGCTATTTCGATAAGTTTAAAATAACACCCTTTAAGTCCAAGGGCCTTTGCCAAAAAGAAGAGTTCGACCTCGATCAAACGACGATGGGTTACTATTTCGATAAGTCCGAAATAACACCCTTTAAGGCCAATGGCCTTCGCCAAAAAGAAGAGTTCGACCTCGATCAAACGACGACGGGTTACTATTTCGATAAGTTTGAAATAACACCCTTTAAGGCCAAGGACTTTCTCCAAAATGAAGAGTTTAACTTCGATCGAATGATAACAGGCTACTATTTCGATAAGTTCAAAATAACACCCTTTAAGGCCAAGGGTCTTCGCCAAATAGAAGAGTTCGACCTCGATCGAACGACGATAGGTTACTATTTCGATAAGTTCGAAATAACACCCTTTAAGGCCAAGGGCCTTCGCCAAAAAGAAGAAGTTCGACCTAAATCCAACAACGGTGGGTTAATATTTCGACAAAAGTTCAAAATCACACCCTCAAGGCCATGAGCCATCTCCAATGGGAAAAGTTCAAAATATATCTAAGGCCAAGGGCTGTCAATAATAAAAAGGGAAGAAAAGACCGGGACTCGCCATATGGGAATCCATCCCGCGCCAAAGTCATAAAAAGCAAAAACAAAGATAAAGTACGGGGCAAATAACAACAAAAAAATATTTCTTTATACGAGGTCACCACACTAATGGTCACAGATTACATATGGCCCAAGCCAACAATACAAAAAAAAAGAGGAAGGAAAAATGACAATCGATGATGAATATAAAAAAACAGAAAACAGACTGAGACAACATTCTTTAACTCGGCGTTATCACACCACCATCATCTCCAGAAAGCTCTCTCTCATCATCCCCGCCCTCTTCGGCCTCCGGAGTCGCAGAGTCATAACCACAGTTGACACGGGCCTCCCGTGCCTTTGCTCATGTTCCTTCATATGCGGCCCCAGTAATATTGCCCGCTTCCCACAGACTCTTGTATATATCCTGCTGAGCTTCAGCATGAAACCAAAGATCATGCAGGCGGCAGGGAACAACGGCGAAAGAAGACTCAGACTGAGCCAACAGCCGCTCCTTTTCAGCCTCAAGAGCGGTGGCCCGATCTCCTAAGGTCGAAGCTTCCCGATTGATCTCACCAATGCGCTCCTCAAGCCTCGCCTCCATTAGCGTTGTCGTCACTCTCTCTGATTCCTGCTCATACTGGAGGATGCGGATAGTGTTCTCCAGAGTCGTCGTCCTTACTGAAGCCGCAAACTAGTCACTCTCGATACTCTCCAGCCCGACGACCTTTCTCTCCAACTCGGCCATCTTTCCCATCCACTCTGCACTCATCGCCACGACCTTGATAAGGTTCTGGTCCATTTCAGCCTGCATTGACCTCAGCCTCCCCTACAGATAGTCACACTCTGCGGCCACCCCCTTTCCTACCTCGAGCTCTTCGTCCTTCATGCGAAGCTGCTCTTCGAGTACACTGGTCCTGCGAATGGCCTCCATCAACTACTGATCTCTCTTCTCCAATTCCTCGCCGAGGGATTGAGCACCAAGATTCTCTCTCAGTCGCTCGTGCATCTCACGACACTTGTTGCGATAACGTTGATACTTTTCCAATATCTTCAAGAAAAGCTTGGCCCGAATGTTGACCCTACACATACTCTCCACGTCTACCATGTATGTCTGAAAAACGAGAAGATGGGTTAAAGCCATAAAAAAAGAAAAATGAGAGAAGTATAAAAGAAAAGTGCAACGTACCCTCAAACCCATAACGACCATCTCATTCATCAAATCGATATCAGGAACGTTCCAGAGAGCCACGTTCTCGGCAGCGGAACACAAAATGTCGAACTGTGGCACCAGATCCTCCGTGTCCCCCAGGAGATTAACATCCGAACAAATCTCAAGAATATGGGCCGACCCTCCCGCGTGAACCATCGAGTAGGTAATACCGTCCTCAAACATCCTAACATCATCAGGATCGAGGTCCGACTCTGATTCATAATCGTCGACCACAACACCTTTCCCTCTTTCGGCAGCTGAGGAGGAAGTATGACTGGGTACGAAGGACGAGGGTACATCCAAAACTACAACGGCAGCCTAGAAAATCTGGCCCCTCATCATGACAGGTTGCTGATCAACCACAACAATAGGAATCTCCGTCGACGGGGAAGATACGATGACTGTCTCCATCTCCATGGGCGGAATGGTATCAACCCCCGCCCCAAATTCTGTCAAGGGAGAGTCGTCCAGGTGAATTACAGTCGGAGGGGCTGCCTCGAATTCCACTCACCGCCTCTTGGACGACCCTTCTTCTTCCTCAGCACGGGGAGATTCAACCGTTTAATGAGCAATACGAGTTGGGACCTCAGTCTGAGAAGTGGCTTTCACAAGAATAACCACAGCCGCCGACTCGACTGAAGCAACCCTCGATGAAGGCCGAGCGGTAGGTGCTACAGCAGGGCGAGAAGACAAGGTTGGCTGACGAAAAGCCAATGGAGGAGCCCTCGCTCTCCGCACTCTCCCTGGCATCGACAAACACACATGATAAACTAAGTAAAAAGAGAGGAAAAATAGAAAACAGAAACGACATCTCACCTATAAGGGGTCTGCGTCCAAATTTTTCATAAAAGGCCGACCATGTGCGAACCCCCGCCGTATGGGGAAGGATGGTGCTCACCTACTCACGGATACCTTCGACAGATGGAGGAGGCAATTTTTCGGCTGCGGAGACATAACAGGGTTTAGTACTGTAAAAGAAAGTGGTCGGATATATCTCAAACTAAAAACATAAGAAATTTACGTGCAAAGTTCCATTTCTCAGGGAACCCCGTTGGATCCGCCACAATGTGCTCGGTCCGCACATAGAAATAATTCTCGTAAAAATGACGGTTACCCCTGTCATCCATTTTCACCACCAGACTCTTCGACTCCCGAGGACGTATGTGAAGCATCGTGCCGCGGATAAGCTGAGGGGCGAAGATATTTAGCATGCGATCCAAAGTGATCTCACGGCCGGCGAGTTTCGCAAACTTGAGAAACATAAGGAACAACTTGCACAGGTACGACGAAAGTTGGGCGGGGCATACCTCATAAAAACGGCAAAAATCTACCAACAGGAGAGGGAGAGGAAGTGTGTATCCAATAAGAAAGGGGTAAGCGTAAAACACGCAGTACCCAAGACGGTCAAAATGAACTATGTCGTTCCCTATCGTCGGTCGCATGTCAACGTAACCAGGGATCCCCCACCTAGCTTTCAACTCTGCAATGTCTTCTTTTCTCATAACAGAAGGGACAGGTTTCGGCTCCACCCCGGCGCGACTGCTGAAGTCGGTCAATTCTCTCCAGGATGAGGCAAAATCTCAACTACCGACGGGACCTCCTCGTTTTCTACCACTTCTGCCCCTCCAGTGGCCTGAGCAACATTTTCCGGTGCCGGAATTGTGACAGGGAGATCAGTGCAAGAGGAATCACCAACCATTTTGTCAAGATGATGCGGCAAAAAGTCACCGGAAAGAGGATGAAAGTTTTTAGTTGACTGAGGGCAAACAAAAACTCGGAGTTTCAGGAAGAAAGTATATCTGCAGAATTCTTTCAAGCAAAAGGCGAAGAACTGTGTCAATCGAATGACGAATTCCTTCTATTTATAAGAGACATAAATCCCCCAAGCACGAAACGCAAGAGTCGCCAATCGAATCTAATAGGGCACGAGACGTTTTGGTTCCCCAGGAACGTGTGTCATAATGGCGGCAGCCACGAAACAACATTTCAATGCCAAATGACGTTTCGGTTCCGAAACAACCGCAACGGTCCAAGAAAATTGAAAGAATGCCATCATCCCACTTGAAATCTAAAAAGCATAACCAAGGAACAAGCAGTCAAATTTCTCTCGAATTCGTAGCAATCATGATCCGTCTGCCTGGCCTGACAAGGGACGACCCCGACAGATGGAGGGACTAACTGTATTGGTCAAAATCTGACCGCTGCCGTCAAGCTGACCAACGTCCCGTCCTGGCGGCGAGGCGGCGAAAGATGACATGACCCATTCCACATCAAGCATTCTCGATACCCGTCGAGCCAGGAGAAACGATGTTTAGAGGACGGACAAGACAGACATAATATAAGAGTGCCGGACCAAGTAGATAGCAAAGGTCCCATGACTATATATAGTAAGGAAAAACCTTCGGTTAAGAAGAGGCTGGGGCTTCTCCCTCTCTCATTACATCCCTCCTCTACAATCCTCCCAAAAACAAAAGGAAGAATTTAGCAATCTTCAAAGGAAGATATGTAAACAACCTCCCTCATTGATTAATGAGAGGCACAACGAAAGTTTCAATAAGATCGATTGTATCTATTTCATCTCATATACTATTTATTCTGTTAGCTCATTGATCTGGAATTTATTATGTTTAACTAAGATTTGCCCCTTCAGTTTTTTTGATTGATTTGTCCAAAAAAGGTTCCGATATCTTTTGAGTCAAACAACCCCTAATTATGATACATTTAATATTTTGAAACAACTACTCGATGTCACGTTTCAAATCACATAAGCATCCTTGAGTTGAGCCGAAGGAAGAGAATAGACTTCTTAGCACAAATGGAACGAATCAATAGATTATTGTTATTTGGTTAAGATCACTCCTTTTTTGTTTGAAGGACAAATATTTTCATATGATACAAAAATTCTTGCAGAACATTGCACAAGTAGTGCAAGGTGAGACTTAATAAAATGCTTAAAAGATCATTCTTAGTAAGGCAAACTCTTAGAACTTGAGCTAACAACTAGGGACTTAAGCCTTGAACAATCACTACCACCATTGGCTCTACTAGTAATTGTTTCCATATTTTTATGAAGGCTTTGTTTCACAATTTTCTTCATCAGTTTCTTGCTTTCATCAACGGCTCTTGGACTCACTGGTGGTGAATCAATTGCTATCCTTCCTGCTTGTGGCCCAGAGTGAGGTCCCATTTTGCTCTGCCTTTCATCCTTAAACCATTGTAATAATTTCAATGCTCTTTTTTGAGCCAAAGGACTACTCAACAATGCCACTTCAAGTAGAACTGGAACAATACCAGCCTTAGCCATTTTCTCCCTTTGAATAGAACTCTGGTGAGCCAAAATCATCAAAATATAGACCGATAATTCTTGACATTTTGGCTTCTCTTCCCATGTCATTATTTCGATTAAGCTCTCGGGCACCATAGGATTTTCTTCCATTGCCTTCTTCCCCATTAAGGTAACTACTAGATTTCCCAATGTGGCTAATGCTTTCTCTGATACTTCCTTCAATGAAGACAATCTAAAGAGAGTAGTCATTGTTCCATTAGTTGCCAAAATGGCAGCATTTTCCAGCACTGAGGATAAATTGTACAATGTTCCTAGACATGTACTTTTTGTTTCAACACTTGAGTTGGATGAATCAAGAATGCTGACTACAAATGGAATAATTCTTGAGGAATCCATACTGAATTGGGTGTTGGCTAGGGATGATATAGACAAGATCAATTCTGCAAATTCTTGCCTTGTGTTTCCATCTAAATTGTCTGGTTTTTGGGGTAATCTTGATAAGATTCCTGCTTCTACCATCAGAGCCTTGTTCCTGAAAATGGGAACCAAGAAAAAAGAACAATGTTAAACAAATGAATTACTCCAATGATATGGCCAAAAAGAATATTAGAATAACCAAGCATTAGGGACCCAATTTTATGACTTTCATTAGTTATATTTATTGGTCAGCAACTTGGAAAATGATATAGAAAAATGGGTAGGAAGTTGGGGGATTGCCCAATCAAGTAGGGGTCCCCAAATAAATAACAATAGAAATTAAAAACATTATTGACAGTGAGAAGTCAATAAGATTCTGCAAACCAGATCAGTGCAAGAACTGAAGGTCAACAAAGTCGATTTTACCATATTTCTTAATTGTTTTCATATAATTAATACGTGAACCACTCCACTTTGATCACTTCGGCCACAAATATTAATAAAGACAAGTAAGAATAACATGTAAAATGAACAACCCGCTAGTTATTCCACCATGGTTGTACTAGACAGTGAACGCATTTTATGGCAACAATTTTAACTACAATAACAATAATTTCTATATCATTATATTTTTTTTACTCTCATAAGAGAAAAATGACGTCTTTTTTCATGAAATTAATCCAAATACATAGATAAAAATAGGACTAAAATAAAAGATTGGGTGAAACGTATCAATTATTTTGTCCTTCAAGAGATATTTATCGAAACTGAAATGTTAAAAGATCAGGTGAAAGCTGTACGCTATCATCATAGAGTCGATTCAACCCTCTTCATAATTACCAAAACAATGTGGTCATACCACATACTTGTATTGTAGGACCAATCGAGGCTTAGAAAAAGGCCTAAGTCCTTTTCGGATAAAATGTTATGGGCTAGAAGGTCAAGTTGACTCAACTAACCTATATTTGCCATTTTAAGGCTTCGAAAATGCTATGGCAAGAAAGTCAAGTTGATAAAATCCATTTGCTACTTGCTTTCTTAGTCATTATTTAAAGGCTTTCAAATGAAGAAGAGATTTAAGACTATTTTCGAAATATCATATGGTTAAAAACAGACCACAACAAAAGTCTATGTAAAAAAGTTCTTACCAATCGCTTAACCAAAAAGTACAAAGAGAAAAGTACGAGGAAATTAAAGAATAAACTAGTAGATGCAATAGAATATTAGAGTTTTTCTTTTTGCATAGCTGCAGTTTTTTATTCCGTTATTAAAATTGGACGTTTAAATAGTATAGAATTCAGGGTGACGAAGTACTTTTCTTTTTAGTTTGTTCCAAAATAGATGACGCATTTTTAAGTTTGGAAATAATTTAACTTTAAACTCTTCATTTTAATTCTTTTATCATTAATGAGAAGTTTTTATAGCCACACAAATGACATTAGCCTACAAAGCTTTTACTCTTTAAGTTTTTAAGACCACAAGTTTTAAAAGTCCTATTTTCTCTTAAACTCCGTGTCGAGTCAAACTACATCATCTAAATTGAAATAGAGAGTAATATTTTTTATTTTGGTCATACACATCCTCGAAAAACAAAGATGTAATTGGAACATATTTGAATTTTATTGGGATAAAAATCACTAGGGATATTTTATTTTTATGGCTATCTATGATGGGAGGTACAAAGTCATGAACTTCTTGGGCACTTTAAGAGCCAAGAGACGGGGTATTATTCTCTAAACCAGACCTCACGTGCCATACAGTGTGTTAAAGTCAAATATTGGCCACTGAAAGTGGTCAGTGGGCTCCACGTATTCGTACATTTCCCTTTATGTAGTTAGTTACACATCTAATAATCAGTCGCCACGTCATACCACCGCACTAAAACCCACTAGCTTAATAGGATGAAATTTGTACTACGGAACCCCTTGTATTATATTGCTATTAAAATAAGATCACTATCAAAATCTCAGCTCAATAAAAAATCATATTATATTCTACATGTTAGCTAAATTTTTCTAGGACGGTAATTGTCGAGTTTTTTGCATGCATCTTGACTAGATTACCAAATATAATTCACCTTTAGTTACCTTTATTAGTTTCTAACCTTAATATGCAAGATTATCACTTCAGTTTTTAAACCATTAAGCCAATCACCTTGACATCTAACGTTTATAGGATATTAATAAAAACTATAAATTCATTCTTCTATTTTGGCAATAATAGATGTTCTTTACTGAAAGAAATCACGAAACAGAAAATTAACATGCCATTTGCTTTTCCAAAATGGATAATGCGATTTAATTAAATTTTAAAATCAGTTCTCCAGTTCACGAATATGGGATAAAATTTGAACTTCACCTTTACAAATTTCTTACTTAATGTGATGAAAAAATCTCACATTATTATAAAATTACAAATTGTTATAAATTCATGATTCTTGTTCTTATCGTTTTTACGATAAACACATATATTAGTGCAGCGTCAAACTTAGCACTTAAACTTGATCGTAACTATTAGCCGAGGAGAAAACCAAGCATGAAGAAGAAAGTGGATTAATTGATAAAATAAAATAAAAAAGGATTTTACTTAAACGAGTGATTAATATTTATGATTTATAAAATTATAAGTAAATGAACTTACGTGAAAGAGCCATTGGCAAGCTCAACTAATGCTTGAACAGCCAATCTCTGCCGCCGCAGCACCACCTCAGAACCACCAATCATGGCCACAAGCGGCGGAATTACGCCCAGCTCCGCCATCAGTTTCCTCCTCTTTAAGTCTTCTTTAGCCAACTTTTTTATCTCTTTGGCTGCCACCTCTTTTTCTTCCGAACTCCCAAAGTGAAGTTTCTTCACAGATTTTTGCAAAACCATCCATCCATTATCTTTAATATCACTCTCTTTTCCCATTATACCCTTTTCTCCCTTTTCACCTTCTTCAATCACGATCAAAGTATCTGATTTTTCTCTCGGCTGATCAGACGGTTTCAATGGCTTTTTAGATGCTGCCTTGAGCTGAAGGAACCGACGGACTTTTGTGAAAAACCTAAGCTTTATGTAGGTCAAATACCAATTACTAGTTGTTGAAGTATTAGGCATGTTTCGATATATACTACTCGTGAAGAGGACATATATGAAGAAGAACGGTTTTGTAGGGGCCGTGGTGGGGGTAGGGGTAGGGGTAGGGGTGGTTTAATTGAAATTCTAAAAGGTTTTAAATTAAGTGTGTTTATATCTGACTTTTGGTGAAAGAAAGAATTAGTTGGAAAAGAAGCAGACAAAGAGAGAAGAAGACTTTGAGGGCAACAAAACAAGAAGAGCAGAAAGCACATGCAGATTCACGATATGTCAGTTACATCGGAAGGAAGAATTGAAGTTCTCTGATTCTTATAATCAACTGTTACATACACCATATTGAACAAAACATGTTAGGCAGAAATCCACTTTGACCCTTGTGGTTTCATATAATTGTGGAAACCCCCCTCTATTAAAATTCTCCTAACTAGCTTAGCCAACTGCTCCCAAACAAGTCACATTAACATTATATAATAGATAAAAAGTATTTCAAATGTTCAAATTAAAACAAATAGTGACGAATAGTCCTATTTTCTCAATAAGCTTGTGATGATATGCTATAATTGTGTATTTTAGTTGCTTATTACACTCTAATTTACTGTATTTTAATTGAGTTTGAGCTTTAATCGCTAGTGTTTTGCACTAAATATGTGTTTTATGCCTTGTAGGAGTGATTCCGATCTATGTACGCATTATGGAATGAATTCAAGTGATTTAGAGCTTTGAAGTTTGAGTAAAAGCCCAAGACATTCAGTCGGGATCGTGTTCGGAGGTAGTGTACCAAGTCCGGATGTTAAAAGAGGACGAAATAAGTTCACTCTGAGAAAATTACACTGCCGCGCCGCATGGGACGCCGCAAGGTGCGGCGCAGCAGTGTAAAATGCTGCCTGATGCGAAAAGTTGAGGCTGCTGATAAACTCCACTAGCGCGCCGCATGGTGCGGCGCGGCTTTACAAAATTTATAGAGCCAGAGTCCTATTTCGCGCGGGAGAAGGTATTTTTGTCTGGGCCCGACCCTACTTGGTATATATACATGGAAAAATGTTATTTTGGAGATCTAACAGACTTTTGACAGATCTTAGACCTAGGGACACATCTTAGACCTAAGTAGAACACACCACGCTTGGAGGAGGCTTCTAACTAGTTTTTCTTCTCTTTTCTTCCTTTAATCTCATAGTTTATTTGTTCTAGAGTTTTGGGGTGCTACATGAATGTTGTAGTTTGAAGCTTGAATTGTTCTTATTATTTTATCATATTGGTTTATTTATTCAATTTTGCGCTTAATTATGTGATTGCTTGATCACCAATTGAATACTATCTATGAATCTAGGGTTGAACTCGGGAGAGGGAATTCTAGATTGCATATAAGATTGAGTAGAGCAAGATCTTAACTCTTAGGGAGGGCGGATTTGCGGTTAGAATAGGAATATACCTAATCACCTTGCTTGGTTACTATACATGAATTATTAATGTGTTCTTGTTAATTCTAATTCCATAGGAATATAGACGTTAGGTTAGCTTGAATAGGCGAGTTGTACTTCGGGAGAAGGCTACGAGCAATATTAACCCTGTCAACCAATAAACCAAATAAATTAATTAGGCGATTAAAGTGGAAAACTCAACGGGATTGTTATCTAACCCATAACTCTAGAATATTCACTCACATTAAATTCGTCTCTGTAATTTGCCAACTTATTTTCTTTAATCTCTTAATTTATTACTTTAGATTAATTTTAGTAAAATATTCATACTTTAGGATTCGCTTGAATAGATTAATTGTTTGGTTTAATTTAGTTGATAGTTAATCACAAGTCCCTGTGGGTACGATATCTGGACTTACAATCCTATATTACTTGTCGACCACGTATAGTTGCGTGTACATTTGGGAGCAATAAGTTTTTGGCGCCGTTGCCGGGGACTTAGAAATTAGCTATTTTTCTAGATTAGACATTTAATTTTTTTATCTATTCATATTTTTGTGTTTTAGTTTAATTAGTATTTTTTTAATTTATTTTAACATGGCATCTTGGAATGAAAGTTATTCGAATGATGGTTACTCTTATTTTGATGATCCTTGTCCATATTGTCGAGGACCGCACTGGTGGAAAAATTGTCAGAATGTTCCCAGGATCGAGTTGTGCGCACAATCTCAATCCTATGAGTGGAATATTTGTAATATGTGTGGTGGTCAAGATGGCCATTGGAATGGTTGTCCTAATTCTTATTATCCCTCTCAGAGCTCTTATTATAATGTTTGTAATAATGTTTATGAGTTTGATAGGAGCAATGAAGTACATGATATGGAACGTGATGCATATTTTAGGGATATTCTGAGGCACGTAGCAGAGCAACATGATTAACTCAGAAAAGATATGAAAAGAATGAAGACAACAATAACAAGAATGAAGGCCAATATGGAAGAATTGAATGAAGAGAGCGAGTACCAACAAGAGGAAAATTTTGAAAAAGAGGAGATTTTGAGTCAAACTTGGCTGGTGGAACAAGCTGAAAGATTGGAAATATATGAGGCTCAACGTGAAAAAATTACAGATGGGATACAAGACCTAATAGAAGGAAGAGCTGAACTGGGACAAGAGATCAAAAAATTTGGCACATCTATTCACGACTTGGGAGCTCAATTGATTGCAAAGGTTGATGCGTCTAACGCCCAACAAAATAGTTCTGAGTTGTGTGAAACTAAAAAGGAGCTTATACGCCAAATCGAGGAGCTAAAATTGGAGAGTCAATCATTCGACCGTACTTTTATAAATGATGTCCATGTTGAGGAAAACACACTAGAGTTATGTAAGGAAGTAGATAATGTTATATTTGAAAACTCTAGTGTATGTATATATGAGTATGTAACTAGTGATGCAGTTTTAGAGTTGGAACGTATTGGTCCTCATTCCATGCATTTTTCAATATTGTGTTTGGATGATGACATAGAAATTGAGTCATCTGAGCCTTTGGAGGAGCCAATGGACGAGGAACAAGGTACTTACATTCTAAAATTTATTGTGCTAGAGAGAAAGAATTACATCCCTCATCAGAAAGCCAAGAAGTGTAGAATGCGAAATTGGTTACTTGGCCCAATTACATTTTTCCCACCACCCCGGGAGCATAACAGAAAGCTTGAAGCCAAATTGGGGGCTCATTCATAAGTTCGAAATGGAGACAAAAAGTGGTTCACGTCGTGCCGCGACGTTAAATAAAGCGCTTGTTGGGAGGCAACCCAATTCTATGTTTTTCTTTTCTTCTTCTTATTATTTTTTTATTGTGTTAATATTTTTGTAGTATTATTTTTGTGTTTTGTAGGATTATAAGCATTAAGCATAAGAAGAAATGCCAATACGCGAGTGCAAAAGTGAGTAGGTGGTTGAAACTGAGTGTGAGGTACCCGCATAAAGAATCATACCTGGGAGAAGTCTGAGTATCCCGTGAGCTGCTAATACTTCGACCTTTGGCCTACCAGGGAGTCTCTTTTACCCTCTTGTTATTTATAGTATGCATTGAGGACATTGTACAATTTTAAGTGTGAGGGTGAGGAGATTGTTTGAGTGAGTTTCTGTGCTATTTTAGCTTAGTTGTAGTGGGTGAGTTTCCGTGCTATTTTAGCTTAGTTGTAGTATTCGTTCTTAGTGTAGTAGTTTTTGTCAAAAAGAAAAAGAAAAAAAAAGAAAAATGGACTTTTCCCGACGATGGATCTCCTAGAGAGTTTTCTTGAGGGATGTAAGTCTAAAGAATAAGGACAAAAAGATTTTCTTTGTAGGTAGTGTAGTAATTCCCTCTTGGTTTTTCTTTGTGCCGCGGTTCTTTTCCAAGGGTTTTGTTTGAACCGGGTATAGTTAGTTTTTATTTTTTAGAAGTAGGAAAACTTGTGCTATGTTTTGAATTGAAGCAATATCTTTTAACTTTGTCATGCCTTGAGAATAGTGAGTACTTTTGTTGTGACGCTTAAGTTCAATTTTTGACTCTTGTATAAGTACCTTAAATTGTATGATCTTAACTTTGCTTAACTTCTTTGACTAGAGTGTCTTGATGAGTCCAATCCTGAGTGAGTTATGTGCCATGTGTGTGTAATATTTTGTATTATTCTGTGCATTGCATTTGATGTCTAGAACTTGCCCCGTGTGTTTGCAAAGCGAAATAGTATTTTTGTTCAGTCTTGGAAGTGATATGGGCGTTTCTTTGTTGAGCCATATATATAGTTTACCCGCCTAATTGTTATGTATCATAGTTAACCCTTTTGAGCCTGTAATCCTGTTTCTTTGGCAACCACATTACAAGCCTTACCCATCCATTTGAATTAACCATCTATTTGAACCTTTTCACCTCTCATGAGCACTTGAATTATTATGAACTTTGTAAAAGTTAAAGTGTGGGGTAGTGGGTGTGGCTTTTGAGTGGAACTAATGAAATAAGGAGAAAGGTGCACTGTTTTGAAAAAGTAAGAGCCATATGAATTGGAAAAAAAATTAGTTGTATTGTTGTGAAAAATAATTCTAGATGGTGGTGGTTAGTGATATACTTGTGCTTAAAGAAGTGGGGAGTTAATCTATGTTGATGTGAAGGTGGAGTTATGGTTTGAGATAAGTGTGGAGTTTTAAATGTTAAAGTGTATGTATTAAAGTACTTAGGGAGGTGTAGTCACTCTTATATCTAAATGTATCCTACCCAACCCACAGCCTACATTACAACCAAATAAGTCCTACTTGATCTTAGACTGAATGAGCTCGATTAGTAGAGTAATACACTACGGGCAAGCCTATGGTGCATCTTTTGTGGCATATGAATGTTATTTGTGAGAGTGAGTGAATTCTTTCGGTCTTGATGTCACGACCCGGATTTCCCACCCTCGGGAGTCATGATGGCGCCTACTCATAGAAGCTAGGCAAGCCATGAACTTAGAAATCATTAACTCCTTTATTTTAAAACTTCTTACCAATTATATTAACAAGGGAATAAATAGTTAAATAACAGCGGAATATGAAATTTAGCGGAAGTCTTAAATAAATAGAAAACAAAAATGTCTCAAAGACCATCACGTGCCTCTAACCAGAACCTGGTGTCACAACATCCACAGACTACTAAGAGTACTAAATACAACCATTTGAAAGAAATATAACACTGCTTGTCTCGAATGCATGAGATAACAGAATATAAAATAAGATAGAGGAGACGTCGGGCCTATGGACGCCTGCAAGGCTGCCTCGGTGTCTCGGTGGACTGAAGGCTAGCTCCCGAGATACTGCTGCTGACCAAAGGCTACTCCGGTATCTGCACAGAGTGTAGAGTGTAGTATCAGCACAACCGACCCCATGTGCTGGTAAGTGCCTAGCCTAACCCCGACGAGGTAGCGACGAG